TCATGCAGTTGAACGTGACTCAAAGTATTTACATTTTAACTGGTGAAGGCCTTGAGGCCGATAAGTATAGCTTAATAAAGAACATTGATACTAGCAAGAGCAGTGTGCGGGTTTCTCTTTCCTTTCACGTTATTACATTGTTACCATGCACCTGCAACAAAGATAGCTCAGATGTGCGAGTGCTTTTTTGAAATTTCCTTGCGTTCCCACAGGGACTGAATAGAAATAGAAGGCTTAATAATAAGAAGACAGCTTCAAACATGCATTCATGGGGGAAATTGAAAGAGAACGATGTGGGAAAAGTTCCACCGCTTTAGGTTGAGCGGCTGATATGGCTAACATAGGGAAATTAACAGATATTTGTTGAAGATTATCATGGAAAAACAATTCATTTAATTGACAGTTACACCACACATAAAATCCCAGTTTCCCTCGCATAAACCCAATGCACCTTATGTAAAATGTGAGCTCGGGATTAATAGAACTAGGCTACTAACTAGCTACCACAACTGTAGGGGTCGGTAGTGAAATGTTAATGCAATGTTAAAGAAATGTTAATAATGTAGAATTGGATTTTCTTCTCTAGTCTAAATTGATGGTTGATTGCCAGCGCGTATAGGCTACCAAATGCGCTTCCTATCCCAATTTAGATGACAACACTAAACGGGTCTATAAACTAGGATGGATCATCATTACACACATGGTTAAAGATGCTTATGAATATTTGGCCCTGGTGATAATAGTGATATATGTCTTATTGTTTGTGGTTATAATAATTATTAATCAACTACACTTCCCACTGTAAATATCACTACAATCAGTCAGAGTGTTTTGTTTTATGCATAGATGTAAAGCTCTGTTAAAAGAGATTCCTTATCATCAAATGGACAATAAAAGGCCCTATCTGATGGAGGTAATGCCCTGTAGGCCTACAACCGTGTCCGCTGGAGGCTATAGGCCTACTGTGCTGGTTTGTTGTTGCCTTCCACTATCATCCTACTATCTAAAATTCCTTCTGAGATTTGTCCAAAGTTAAGCAGAAATTACAATTCAGTTTGTGGTTATATCCTACCTAGCCTAAATTACATTTTAATTGCTAAATAATATATATACAGTATATTTAGTGCAGAATTGGTCATAGTTGGGCATTTGTAGGAGGGTAGCAGTTATGGGAGGGTAACCTTTTATCATTAACTCAATTGTGGGAATTTGTGAGATTCTGTCAACTTTTGGGAGAGTTTCTGTAACTTATATGATCAGTGTTTCCCAAATGTATCATTGGAATTTATGAGCAAACTCAGCAAAGTTTATATGCTGCTATAAACTTTGCTATGCTCAATATGCGTTTTGGTGTTGTTGCAGTGGGAAAGAGACTTCAATAATTAATACATTTATTGAAATAGAGTTTTAGATTTCTCTATTACTTTTCCACTATATTTGAAAAATGTGACAATGAACAAAACAATATAGCATAGATTATCTTTTGTCATTTTTGTTTTGAATATTTGCTGTGGAATGTTGCTTTAAAGTAACTGTCCAGTGTTTCCAGATTTGTATGAAATATGACCTATAATTAATGACAATATGAGTTAAATAGTTTTCCTTCCAACAAATGGTAATTAATTATGTTAAAATGAAGCTTTTCTGTGTTGGAATGGTGTGGGCATATACCGGTCATTAAATATATTCACGCAAGTAGACCGCTGATTGGCTAGCTCATCCTTCTCAGGAGGATGACATCATCCTCTATGAGCAAATATAACTATCTTGTATGTCTGTTTGAGATACAAGTTTGAGGTGTTTTTCTTTTCTTCTCCAATTTATGCTTTGGCCACATATGAGTATAGGATGAGTCAACAACATTATTTAGGTATGAGTTAACAGAATATGAACTTTTAAAAGTGAGATTCTCACTGGAGGTGCATTTTAATGGTGCATTTTTCTATTCCACCAAACAGGGGATAGAGGGTGAGACGGTGCCATGACAGTTGACTTGTGATTGCATCTAGAAGAGCCTAGAAGCCAACAGTCACCTGCATTACCGTCATCTCTAAGTTGGAACATTATCATCATGAAGAAAATGTCTAACACCCTCCCACTCAGTCTGCTTACCGTTCTGCTGTTGTCCCAGATCTGCTCCGGCATCAAATGGCTGTAAGGACCTTTCCTTTTCTTGTTTTTGTGTCTGCATTTTTCCTTTATTGTGGACTATGTTGTACAGAAGATGGTGCTCTCCAAGTCCTTCTAGTTTTTTACTTTATTGATTCTTAATCTGTTATAGAAAAGAACAGAATATAATATAACTTTATTGTCCATCTGAAGATGAAAATTTGCCATATTGTCTATGTGGGTAAAAAGAAAGGCAGGTTGTGTGTTTTAGTTCATGTTCTGACATTGAATGAGGTTCTCAATTTGTCCCCTGATGAATGTTAATAAGAAGATTTGAACTGGAATTAGAGAGTGGAAAATGTATGCTCTACAGCAGGGATGGGCAACTGGCGCATCAATCTGTTGCCACAAAGTTGGAAGCACAGAATCGTCTAGAATGACATTGTATGCTGTTGCGTTAAGATTTCCCTTCACTGGAACTAAGGGGCCTAGCCCTAACCATGAAAAACAGGGGCAGGTAGTGTTCTCCTGGCATCTGCCAAACCCAGATTCATCCGTCGGACTGCCAGATGGTGAAGCGTGATTCATCACTCCAGAGAATGCGTTTCCACTGCGCCAGAGTCCAATGGCGGCAAGCTTTACACCACTCCGGCTGACGCTTGGCATTGAACATGGTGATCTTAGGCTTGTGTGTGGCTGCTCGGCCATGGAAGCCTATTTCATGAAGCTCCCGACAAACAGTTATTGTGCTGACGTTGCTTCCAGAGGCAGTTTGGAACTCGGTAGTGAGTGTTGCAACCTAGGACCAACGATTTTAAGGCGCTACGCGCTTTAGCACTCAGCGGTCCCGTTCTGTGAGCTTGTGTGGCCTACCACTTTGCGGCTGAGCCGTTGTTGCTGCTAGACGTTTCCACTTCACAATAACAGCACTTACAGTTGACCGGGGCAGCTCTAGCAGGGGAGAAATTTGACGAACTGACTTGTTGGAAAGGTGGCATCCTATGACGGTGCCACGTTGAAAGTCACTGAGCTCTTCAGTAAGGCCATTCTAATGCCAATGTTTGTCTATGGAGACTGCATGGCTGTGTGCTCGATTCTATACACCTGTCAGCAACAGGTGTGGCTGAAATAGCCGAATCCACTAATTTGTATATGTATAATTTTTTGGGAACTCAGTGGATACTAACTGTTGAGAGTTAGAATAGTAAAATACAGAAGATACAATTTCGAAATGTGGTTGTGCATCAGCAGTTTTTCTCTTGTTATGTCAGTCACTGACAGTCACTGAATTAGCCGAAGTCAGCTAACATTTTTTAGATTGGTAAATTAGTCTAGCAGCCAGCTATTTTAAAAACTGCAAATATTTCTCAACACCCTATGGCAAAATGTGTAGAAATGAAGGAAATTAGCTGTAAAACTGCACATTTTTCTCTCCGCCCATGGCAAAATGTGTGCAGAATTGCAGGAAATTAACTATAAAACGAAAAATGAATTGAATGAAATGTGTTATAAAATTGCAAAATATTCTCTCTGCCCCAGGGCAAAATGTGTAGAATTGCAGCAAACTTGCTTTAAAACTGCAACATTTTCTCTACGCCCCACAGCAAAATGTGTGCAGAATTGCAGGAAATTAACTCTAAAACGAATTTTTTTTTCTTTCCACTGTCAAGAGGGGGGCTGCAAATATTTTTGCTTAGAGCCACCAAAAGGCTGGCTCTGACTGCATGTGTCGGTATGGATGTGGGTACGCAGACCAGCGAAGCATTGCGTCCTCTCATGATGAGTTCCGGATTTTTGTGGCCCCCACCCCCATCAAAGTTGCCCATCCCTGCTTTACAGCAACACTTGACTGCTTGACTGTTACTCATCACTATAACCAAGAGTGACATCATTTGAATGTTTGTCTCTCAGATGTACAAATTCTGTAGTGATTTTGGTACATATTTTTCTTCTGTTCATAGATTAATGGACATTTTAAGCCTGCACATGATTTGGAATGGTTATTTAGCATCTGTAGCATCTGAAACCTATAAGAGTGAGTTGTTGCTAATATTTCTCTAGGCTATAACCATTGAGCAGCAAATGTGCCTCAGAGAGAGAGAGAGAGAGAGAGAGAGAGAGAGAGAGAGAGAGAGATTGGGGATTGCATGACATTGTGCTAAATCCTATAGTAGAAAGGATCTCTCCCAGCCTTGATATTGCTACGGGGCCTGGACGTGAAACAGATGGGGCCATAAACACTTGTGAGTGCTGGGTTACCATGAGTACAGGGGAGTCACAGTTTATCATTGGGCATGGAGTGGCCGCCCTCTTCCTCCTAATCCCAAACAGGCCAAGGTGCAGGAGGCATTGGCTGGTTCTCATGGAACTCTCTCTCCCTCGCAGTGCTCCTGCAAGACATAGAAAACAGAGATCAGGAACTGACTGACTGACCAGGTTCTCTGGTGGTTTTTCTATGAACTAATCTTCTATTCAGTCTAAGTGAAAACAAAGTATGTGTGCCCCCCTTTTAGATTTCCGTAATCAGATGACTTATGTCACAGTAAAGTCTCGGTATAATGAAATCCTTTAAACCATTGAAGAATGTAAATGATGCTAGATGGATAGATGTAGTGCTGTCAGATCTGGCTTTTTGCCTATAATGAATTCATTATTTGGCATGTTCTGGAACCTCCTTTAGTGAACTGAATCAGGAGAATAACCTGATGCCAAGCTGTGGTCTGTTATGTTTTACCTGTTCGTGACTTCTTGAGAGATTTCCATTGGCATTTCCATTGTATCTCCTAAGTCAAGTGGTTCAAATGCCAAAATATTTCCCCATTCCAAACAGCTCTGATTATGTGTTTGATTGGTTGAAAACATGTGGCTCAGTATATGACATAAGTGAGAAAATGACTTTGTATTGGCTTTTGCATGTCTATTTCTGTTCCAGGGCCCTATCACACACACCTGTGTCCTTACACATCAACCAGACCCACCACTGCAAGCTGCTGCCGGGCCTGGTGTCTTCACAAGCCCAGCTGTGTCGGAGCAACCTGGAGCTCATGCAGACCATCATCGCTGCAGCCCGCGAGGTCAAGAAGACCTGCCAGAAGACCTTCGCTGACATGCGCTGGAACTGTTCCTCTATTGATATCCCCAGTGACTCCTCAAGGTATCGACCAGACCTTGACAGAGGTAGGCCTACTAGTCACAATTTACTATTTATGGTGGTTAGAACTAGGCGTAAAATAAGGAATACAACTCCAGCACACTGGAGTAAACTATGTGAAGATCTATTGACTGAAATGGTGGTGTGAGATCCATTGTGCTAGGTGTGCATATTATACGTTTTTTTCAAACGAACCAGGAGTGATCATCTCTGACCAAATTATTAGTACAGTAGAAACTCTGTGTCCTTGGTGGGATTCAAAAAGCTAATCTAAGTGTCACAGGAGATTATTTACAAGAGAGAGTTTAACGCTTTAATCATTGTCCTTGGTGGTCTTTTGTGCTCTGAGGGCAGAGCCGACTGTGACAAGCAAAGGCTACCATTCTTCTTTGTGTCCCCTTGAAAGAAAGAAAATCATCCACTATCACCCTAGCCACTCACCTCCATAATATCGGTGCTACAAAGTTATTCTCTTTAAGATTCCACTATGTGAAAGATAGTATTGAGTTGGACAGTGACTATTAGAAGGGATCTAGACATATTTTTTGTGGCATCTCATCCTTCTTAGTTTTAAATCCATTTTATGGCATACATTACATACATTACATACATGCATCTGTTTTTCTATAGTAAAGCATGATGTGAAATATTGCCAGCGATCTCTGCGGAACATACGTCTTTTGAATAGGTAGGTTCTTAGTCGCTTCCTTCAGCACAAAGCATTAGTAATGTATACAGTGCGTGCCTACATTTTAAAAATCAATCCTCGTTTCATTAAGTCTCCCGAGTGGCGCAGTGGTCTAAGGCACTGTGCCACTAGAGATCCTGGTTTGAATCCAGGCTCTGTTGTAGCCGACCGGGAGACCCATGGGGCGGCGCACAATTGGCCCAGAGTAGGGGAGGGAATGGCCGGCAGGGATGTAGCTCAGTTGGTTGAGCATGGTGTTTGCAACGCCAGGGTTGTGGGTTTGATTCCCACGGGGGGGTATGAAAAAATAAATAATGTATGCACTAACTGTAAGTCGCTCTGGATAAGAGCGTCTGCTAAATGACTAAAATGTAATTAAATGCCCGCTCCTTGTAGTGTTTTGAGAGTCTTTCCGTGTTCTGGACTTGTACTTTGATGGGTTTATTTCTATTGCCAAAAGGATCTTTGCTGAGCCAGACAGAGCCAATGCCAGTTCCAGTTTTACTGAGTTTGGGTGAAGATGTAAAAACCCCACAACAAAGAGCTGGCTCCTAATCAAAGGTTTAGTGAGATAGCTCCATGATGATGCGCCTCAGGAGAAGACAGGCTCCATCTGTCAACTGTTAGACCAGTCTTAAGAAGCCCCTGGCAGACTCTAGACTAGTGCTCTTTTTCATACAGGGATGTCTTTGATGGCCTGAATGGTTCTTTCTTCCTGTCTCCTACTTCCATCATCCAGCATTGACATATCTTCCCTCTGTGTGTACACACTTCATTACCTATACACTGAATGTACAAAACATTAGGAACACCTTCCTAATATTAAGTTGCACCCCCCCTTTTGCCCTCAGAACAGCCTCAGTTCATCGGGGCATGGACTCTACAAGGCGTCGAAAGTGTTCCACAGGGATGCAGGCCCATGTTGACTCCAATGCTTCTCAAAGTTGTGTCATTCTTTAACCTGTCTCCTCCCCTTCATCTACATTGATTGAAGTGGATTTAACAAGTGATATCAATAAGGGATCATAGCGTTCACCTGGATTCACCTGGTCAGTCTGTCAATGTTTTGTACACTCAGTGTATAACATCCATATTATTCACTCTGGCAGTATAACCATATCTGTCTAGTGACTTTCTCATGTTACCCTCACTGAGAGTACAGGTTAGGGTTAAATTAAGGTTACATGAATGAAAAGCAAAAGCAGTTAATCTACAGAAGTCAGTTCCCTCACTTACAAGGATTTGTCTTGTTGTTCTCAACAGGCACGAGGGAGTCGGCATTCGTGTACGCCCTGTCCGCGGCAGCCATCAGCCACACCATTGCGCGGGCATGCACATCGGGGGACCTGCGGCTGTGTTCGTGCGGCCCCATCCCCGGAGAGATCCCTGAGCCAGGCTACCGCTGGGGCGGCTGTGCAGACAACCTGCACTACGGCCTGGTCATGGGCTCCAAGTTCTCTGACGCCCCCATGAAGATGAAGAAGGCAGGCTCCCATGCCAACAAGCTGATGCATCTGCACAACAGTGAAGTGGGGAGACAGGTAGTTACACACGCAGATCACGGATATACTCACTGTTTATGCTAATCAGATATAGTAGTAGTAGTAGTAGTAGTAGTAGTAGTAGTAGTTGTAGTAGTAGTAGTAGTAGTAGTAGTAGTAGCAGCAGCAGTCTGGTTTGAAAGAGGGAGATATGAATATATGGGTGGACATATGAGTAGGGCTGTGGCGGTCATGACATTTTGTCAGCAGGGGATTGTCAAGCAAATAACTGCCATCTCACGGTAATTGACCGTTAATTATCATAAACATATTTAGCATCTCCTGGCTTCCTACAAGCCACTGATGCAGACCTTTGGAACATCTACGTTTTAAAAAGTAGAATAAATCCATGTAATATAGCCTACTCCATCACAATAAAAACCATTATTTATTTTAGACAGGTCTAAAGAAATATGATATGAAGAAAATGTTGTCTATTTCAGAAGAACAGAATAGCGTTCTCTGAGTTGTCCTTATGTTAGGCCCTGATCTGGCTATGCCATATGGCTGTGGGCTACACTAGTTCATTTAGCAGAAAAGATTTGCTTAGAATTCCGTGGCATTATTTTATATTAGTTTATAGTATGAAGAATACAATTGAACATAGCTGAATAAAATAGAAAGGATATTTTCTCCTAACGATTTGAGGGCGTGCACACATGTGGCTGTTCTGTGTTGAGCGGTTAACAAAGAAACAGGCACTCCTATATGCTTAATTTAGAGATATTTATGTAACTTTAGTTGTGATAGAAATGTTGGGCTGTATGTTTTAAATTTTTTTAAGGCTGCATGATGTGACTCTAATGATGATTTGAAAAAAGTTGCATGAAAGACGTGCTCTGCTTTGTTTTTTACGCAGTCTGTACACACTTCATCCGTCTCTCATTCACAATTTGACAAGCACTTGATAATGCCTCGAATTTCCCAGCTGCATCCCCTTTGTGTGGCCGTAATGCCCCCTAAAAAAATATATGCCTTATAATTCCCTTCTCCCACCTCTCACTCACATGGCTTTCCGTCACGTGGTCGGGTCTTTCTCACAGGCTACAAGTGAAGACAGACACATCCGGGACACAACTGCACGTGTCCTTATCCAATTCCGAGGCGCATATTGAAGATATTGGAAGAACTGTCCACATTTACTTTTCGTCAGCCAACAAGATGAGTAGGTCTAACGAACAGCAAAAGCACTAGCCTATGTCAATATATTATCCCCCATAGTACAAAAGCTGACCTATTCTATTCTGTGCGATAAACTGGGGCATTTGTGGGATGCGATAGATTCCAAATCAATACAACCACTAGCATCAAAAACCTGTTTTAAGCAATGAGCCTGACGCAACAGATGAGAACGTTTAGCTTAAAATGTTGATTAACTATTAGGCTATTTCTTAACATTATAAGTGCAGCAATGCGCACACGGCAGTAGGTTATAAGCACAAATGTTCCATTAGCAGGAAAACACCATTCTCAAAAGTGACCACAAATGCGATTATGCACATATTTATTTTATTATAAAGGTGCATTTTTATGGTGAAAATGATCTTTCCCAAACTTTAAACTCACACCCTGCGTATGAATGCCAGTTAGGCTCTACACCCATTTTAAAGCGAATTAATGTGCTTCATTTTAAGAAGTTAGTTGGCCGCTTTAGTTGTGATACAAACCTTATCAAAACATATACAGTGGCTTGCGAAAGTATTCAACCCCCTTGGCATTTTTCCTAATTTGTTGCCTTACAACCTGGAATTAAAATTGTTTTTTTGGGGGGGTTGTATCATTTGATTTACACAATATGCCTACCACTTTGAAGATGCCAAATATTTCTTATTGTGAAACAAACAAGAAATGAGACAAAAAAAAAACAGAAAATGTGAGTGTGCATAACTATTCACCCCCCCAAAGTCAATACTTTGTAGAGCCACCTTTTGCAGCAATTACATCTTCAAGTCTCATGGGGTATGTCTCTATAAGCTTGGAACATCTAGCCACTGGGATTTTTGCCCATTCTTCAAGGCAAAACTGCTCCAGCTCCTTCAAGTTGGATGGGTTCCGCTGCTGTACAGCAATCTTTAAGTCATACCACAGATTCTCAATTGGATTGAGGTCTGAGCTTTGACTAGGCCATTCCAAGACATTTAAATGTTTCCCCTTAAACCACTCAAGTGTTGCTTTAGCAGTATGCTTAGGGTCATTATCCTGCTGGAAGGTGAAACAGGTTCCCCTCAAGAATTTGCCTGTATTTAGTGCCATCCATCATTCCTTCAATTCTGACCAGTTTCCCAGTCCCTGATGAAAAACATCCCCACAGCATGATGCTGCCACCACCATGCTTCACTTTTTGGATGGTGTTCTCGGGGTGATGAGAGGTGTTGGGTTTGCGCCAGACATAGCGTTTTCCTTGATGGCCAAAAAGCTCAATTTTAGTCTCATCTGACCAGAGTACCTTCTTCCATATGTTTGGGGAGTCTCCCACATGGCTTTTGGTGAACACCAAACGTGTTTGCTTATTTTTTTCTTTAAGCAATGGCTTTTTTCTGGCCACTCTTCCGTAAAGCCCAGCTCTGTGGAGTGTACGGCTTGAATTGTCCTATGGACAGATTCTCCAATCTCCGCTTTGGAGCTTTGCAGCTCCGTCAGGGTTATCTTTGGTCTCTTTGTTGCCTCTCTGATTAATGCCCTCCTTGCCTGGTCCGTGAGTTTTGCTGGGCGGCCCTCTCTTGGCAGGTTTGTTGTGGTGCCATATCCTTTACATTTTTAAATAATGGATTTATTGGTGCTCCGTGGGATGTTCAAAGTTTCGGATATTTTTTTATAACCCAACACTGATCTGTACTTCTCCACAACTTTGTCCCTGACCTGTTTGGAGAGCTCCTTGGTCTTCATAGTGCTGCTTGCTTGGTGGTGCCCCTTGCTTAGGGGTGTTGCAGACTCTGGGGCCTTTCAGAACAGGTGTATATATACTGAGATCATGTGACAGATCATGTGACACTTAGATTGCACACAGGTGGACTTTATTTAACTAATTATGTGACTTCTGAAGGAAATTGGTTGCACCAGATCTTATTTAGGGTCTTCATAGCAAAGGAGATGAATACATACATTGTGCAAGTTCTCCCACTTAAAATGATGAGAGAGGCCTGTAATTTTCATCATAGGTACACGTCAACTATGACAGACAAATTGAAAAAAAAATTCCAGAAAATCACATTGTAGGATTTTTAATGAATTTATTTGCAAATTATGGTGGAAAATAAGTATTTGGTCACCTACAAACAAGCAAGATTTCTGGCTCTCACAGACCTGTAACTTCTTTTTTAAGAGGCTCCTCTGTCCTCCATTCGTTACCTGTATTAATGGCACCTGTTTGAACTTGTTATCAGTATAAAAGACACCTGTCCACAACCTCAAACAGTCACACTCCAAACTCCACTATGGCCAAGACCAAAGAGCTGTCAAAGGACACCAGAAACAAAATTGTAGACCTACACCAGGCTGGGAAGACTGAATCTGCAATAGGTAAACAGCTTGGTTTGAAGAAATCAACTGTGGGAGCAATTATTAGGAAATGGAAGACATACAAGGCCACTGATAATCTCCCTCGATCTGGGGCTCCACGCAAGATCTCACCCCGTGGGGTCAAAATGATCACAAGAACGGTGAGCCCAGAACCACACAGGGGGACCTAGTGAATGACCTGCAGAGAGCTGGGACCAAAGTAACAAAGCCTACCATCAGTAACACACTACGCCGCCAGGGACTCAAATCCTGCAGTGCCAGACGTGTCCCCCTGCTTAAGCCAGTACATGTCCAGGCCCGTCTGAAGTTTGCTAGAGTGCATTTGGATGATCCAGAAGAGGATTGGGAGAATGTCATATGGTCAGATGAAACCAAAATAGAACTTTTTGGTAAAAACTCAACTCATCGTGTTTGGAGGACAAAGAATGCTGAGTTGCATCCAAAGAACACCATACCTACTGTGAAGCATGGGGGTGGAAACATCATGCTTTCGGGCTGTTTTTCTGCAAAGGGACCAGGACGACTGATCCATGTAAAGGAAAGAATGAATGGGGCCATGTATCGTGAGATTTTGAGTGAAAACCTCCTTCCATCAGCAAGGGCATTGAAGATGAAACGTGGCTGGGTCTTTCAGCATGACAATGATCCCAAACACACCGCTCGGGCAACGAAGGAGTGGCTTCATAAGAAGCATTTCAAGGTCCTGGAGTGGCCTAGCCAGTTTCCAGATCTCAACCCCATAGAAAATCTTTGGAGGGAGTTGAAAGTCCGTGTTGCCCAGCGACAGCCCCAAAACATCACTGCTCTAGAGGAGATCTGCATGGAGGAATGGGCCAAAATACCAGCAACAGTGTGTGAAAACCTTGTGAAGACTTACAGAAAACGTTTGACCTGTGTCATTGCCAACAAAGGGTATATAACAAAGTATTGAGAAACTTTTGTTATTGACCAAATACTTATTTTCCACCATAATTTCAAATAAATTCATAAAAAATCCTACAATGTGATTTTCTGGAAAAAAAAATCTCATTTTGTCTGTCATAGTTGACGTGTACCTATGATGAAAATTACAGGCCTCTCTCATCTTTTTAAGTGGGAGAACTTGCACAATTGGTGGCTGACTAAATACTTTTTTCCCCAATGTATGCACGCACCACTTCTCCGTTATTTCTTTTTTATATTTTTTTAAAACAAGTTATTTTTTTCATTTCACTTCACCAATTTGGACTATTTTGTGTGTGTCCATTACATGAAATCCAAATAAAAATTTAAATTACAGGTTGTAATGCAACAAAATAGGAAAAATGCCAAGGGGGATGAATGCTTTTGCAAGGCACTGTAGGCCTATGGGCTAGGCTACATGAGGTGTGTGACTATGATTTTAAAAAGTCGTAAAAAGAATTATGCGCTGTTTGCCTTAAGCTGGGCATCATTCACAAGTGATAATATATTATTCACAAGTGATAGGCTAATATTGTCACCCATCACACTATTCTTGATTTAATCTTGTCTTAACATATACTAAATAATATGTGTGAAATTTGTTTTGATTTAGAATGGACCATTATCATGCACCTGTCTCGAAACAGGGGCTGCGGAAAAAAATACATGTCATCTATGCACTTAAATAGCGAATGGAGGACGCAATGTGCTTAATATTAGGAAAGTTGAGAAATAAATATAGTAGGCCTAGCAATAGAAAGCTGATAGGATCCTCCTCTTTTTAGTAGAGGCCATCACTCTGTTTTCTTGCCCAATTGCATAGCCTATAGAAATGTTGCTCAACATGAGCTAATGGGCTTTCATGAAGTGTTTGATTAGATTTTCGACAGCATTTGCATTGATGTCAGAGTGATTAGAGGGACAATAGAGTGCTGAGTACCAGGCAGTTAGCAAGTTTGGTAGGCTACGTTTGGTAGGCTACTAATGACCATCAGCAGCTTCAGAGCTTGGAAAATCTTAATTTCTGTGACTAAACGGTCATATGGAATTTGACTGCTGTCATGACACCTGACCGCCGGTGTGGTGGTAATACGGTCACCGTAACAGCCCTACATATGAGCATGTATATTTATAGCTCTTGTAAATTAGAATCCCTTTGTAGAATATTCAACGTATTTTCTGCTATAGCATTAGCGTCAGTAGTAACAGTGTCTGACATTCACGTCCTCTATCTCTCCCCCAGGCCCTGAGAGATGCGCTGGTGATGAAGTGTAAGTGTCACGGTGTGTCTGGCTCCTGCTCCATACGGACCTGCTGGAGAGGCCTGCAGGACCTGAAGGACATCGCCATGGACCTGAAGACCAAGTACCTGTCAGCCACCAAGGTGGTGCACAGACCCATGGGTACGCGCAAGCAGCTGGTCCCCAAGGACATCGACATCAGGCCCGTCAGGGAGAACGAGCTGGTCTACTTGCAGAGCTCCCCGGACTTCTGCGCCAAGAACGACAAGCTCGGCTCCGTTGGCACCCAGGACAGGTGAGAATGTTACAGGAGCTGTGTGTGTGTGTGTGTGTGTGTGTGTGTGTGCGTGCGTGCGTGTGTGTCTTATGTTCATAAAAGCAGGGTGTCATGGGTGGCACATTGTGGAAGTATATAGGGCCGTACAAAATCATAGCTCCTCTTTTGCGAAACTCTAGATACTCAGTATACTGGCCTGGCTCTGTCTGGACCAATCCTGTTTATTTTCTCAAGCGGGTAGTTCGTCCAGGATGTTGATTTAATTAGCTGCCACCCACTCTGGTGGCAGACACCATTTTGTTTTGAGAATCTCTGATAAAGAAAGTGGTTCCAGAGATTGGCCTGTCTGTGGTATGTCTGAGCACGTGTCACTGACATGACCGTTGTGACTTGGGCCCTTGTGTTGCTATCAGATAGGGGTGAGTAATGTGGTTATTCTTAGGGCCTGAGTGCATTCAGCTGATACAGGTAATGGTCCCCAAAGATAAAACAAGACTCTCTATTCATCTGAAGTGTTTTATTAGGAATTATAAACTGGTTGGTTCGAGCCCTGAATGCTGATTGGCTGACAGCCATGGTATATCAGACCGTATACCACGGGTATGACAAAATATTTATTTATACTGCTTTAATTACATTGGTAACCAGTTTATAATAGCAATAAGGCACCTCGGGGGTTTGTGGTATATGGCCAATATACCACGGCTAAGGCTTGTATCCAGGCACTCCGCGTTGCGTCGTACATAAGAACAGCGATTAGCCTTGGTATATTGGCCATATACCACACCCCCTCAGGCATTATTGCTTAAATATATGTTGCATGTTGTCAGTCTGACCACTGTGAGAACTTAGTGGGAAGTAAAGGGTATTTTCTTTGTCTGAGGTAAGGGCCAGATATAGAGAGTCTGGCCACCCCCCTTCTACAAAAATGTGCTAGCCATCTTTGACAGCCTAGTGGATTTTCTGCCTTTTGCATCTTTTGCCATGGGTATCCATTTTAGCAGCGTAGCTGAATCTCTGCTATTTGGTTTTGGACTGCAGAAGACATATGACAAATTTAAAAAAGGAGGAGGGTTTAGTGGTCTGCAGCTCTTGGAGCTGGAAATGCAGACGAACATATGAGGACCATTGAAAACAATTAATGCAAATGTCTCTTTACTGTTCCTGGAGGCAGCTATAGTTCAAATGTCAAGCGTCATGTGCCTAGCCCTGAGCCTCTGAGCAGAAGGCCACTTAACAGATACTGTAACCTGAAGACATATTGCGCGTCAGGTGCACTCACTGTGCTCCATGCATCTGCTGCCCCCAACCTGATAAGGGTCCCACCACACGTGGTCTATAGCATATACAGTATTTAGTCCTTTATGCCGTGTCTCAAGGCACCATCAGCCTCTTGCAATCGTTGGTGGCAGTCTGCAAGGGGGCGTGTGACACTGATGTGCCGTGTGGTGTGTGCTTCCATGAGGGTCCCAGAGGTCTAGGGATGTTTTAACCGCCCCATCCCACACCTCCTCCTCCCCATCACATGGCCTCATCACAGCACCATACTCCTCATGACCATGATCCCTAGCCACTCCACAAGAGCTAGTGGGAGACCCTGACAGAGCCATGTTCAGTGGTGCACACTTCAGGATGGCCTTATCTGTGTTTACCCTCCAAGTGAGTTCTAATCTCACTACTCCTCACCATGAATATCTTTGACCCCGTTGATAATACCTGGAGTGGAGTAGCAGCAAACATGAAGCCTACTCAGTTAGGGACAGAAATGCTGGACGCCTCTTCTGTAGAAAGCTGTCCTTTGTCTTTCCAGTGATATACACTTGTTCTGCTGTGAGCCTTGTAGCGACGTTCGTTGTGGGGTTAGAATGTGTTCTGTAATAATAAGAAATGCATAACAAGTTACATTTCAATAACATCCCCAGAGCTGAGGGATGATCAGTGTCTCAAAGGCAACAAGCACTGTGGGTCTTGCGTGACGGCACCATCGAAGGATGTGTTTTAATTCAGAATGAGATTAGTAGCTCTGACTGTGAGTGACAGCTGTGTGAGAGCGATGTGGAGTTAACAGACTGTGCTGTCCTTTTGATCCATTAACTTGCACCAGATAGGGCAGATTTTCCCTGACAAAACATGTCTGTGTAGAGCTATTATTAATTGCCCCATCCCAAAGGCCATTATTGTAAGGAGCCTGTCCTACGTATTCCAATGACTCTCATTCCCTCCCTCCCACCCTCCCTCCCTACCCGCCAACCCTACCCTTCTTTTCCCTCCTCTGTGTCAGCAGCCTTCAGCTATCCTCTCAGTGTCTCTGTCTCTCACCACGCTGGCCATTAACACTCTGCTATTATAAAACAATGCAATTATGTGGAGAGAGAGAGGGTTAAATAGAGGGAGGGCTCCCCTGTGTATTCACTGTGATTTATGATATAGCTATTCTCTGCTCACTTAAGATGCCCCCAGGCTTAAGAAATTAAAGGCTCCCAATTGAAGCATCTGCTGCCCTCAGACAAAACACAAGGGAGAATGTTTGGGTGAATGCACAATAAGCATTCGTCAAGCTCCCCCTTTTAAATACATTTGTGAGGCTTCCGTTGGACTCAGAGTTGTCCAAAACGTTTTTGGGGGTTGATATTTGAGAGAGGAACTATTCTAAGATCAATGGGGTTGTTTGAGTGGGGAATTCATTGGGGAGACCGTGTTTATGTGTGCGTGTGCGTGTGCGTGTCATCGTGTGTGTAAATATGTTGGGGACCTTGAGGGCTTTCCATAGACCAAAATGTATTACCGGTGTATAGAATGGTTTGTTTCTCTGTCATTTGTTTGGGGGCAGACAGTGTCATTTAGTGACGCAAAAAATGATGAAACCTAGTTTTATCTCACTCTCTCGCTCTCTCTGTCCATTCCAGGCAGTGCAACAAGACGTCCATCGGCAGCGACAGCTGCGACCTGATGTGCTGTGGGCGAGGCTACAACCCCTACACAGAGAAGCTGGTGGAGCGCTGCCACTGCAAGTACCACTGGTGCTGCTATGTCACGTGTAAGAAGTGTGAGAGGATTGTGGAGAGATATGTCTGCAAATGAATCCATGTTGTCTACTTCATCCATCCATCCACCCACCCACCTAACCGCCCCACGTCTCTGGGCTGGGGCCACAGATAACCAAAGCACTACGTTTCCGAGATGGCTTACTTTTGTCTTAAGCTTTAGCATGTATATTTTGACAAGAAACAGTTTATTTTTGTTCATAATTTTTTATTCAACTCTGACCCACAAGCTGGACTAAAAAGTTTTAAAATTTTACGAACGTGGTCAAATAGGTGTTGTGACAATGCCTATCGGTTTACGTGAAGACCACCGTCCTCAAGGGTTTTGTCTTTCCTTACACTTTCCTTACACTTGCCATACTTGGATATCAAAAGTCTATTTTCGTATACCTTTATTAAAATAAATGATATTGGATGTTTGTTTTTTTGTACTTCTGGTCACGCTCTGATGTTGATGTTCACCGTTTCCACGGAATTCAAAGGGTTCTGAAGGATCCATATTTTTTATTGCTCAAATGGTACTTGTTTTTTCAAGAGCGAAAGAGACGGAAAGAAAGAGAGGAAAAAGGTGCTAAACACACAAAGGGAACTTCAAGTACTTTCAGTTGTGGAACTTTTTTAGTAACTGGTGTTGAACTCTGGACACTTGAGCACTGGAGCTCGACTGGGGACTCGCCTGCAGGCAGACAATTCTGTGTGAATCCTCAGAAAAAGGAAAAATAACTCCCAGTGTTAGAAACAGCACATTATCCCTATAATGTCTGACATGCAGGTAGTCCAAAGCCTAACACTCAGAGTATGCGAAAGGAACACATGGGTCTCATATAATCCTGTGTTATTATGAACCACTCTTGTGTTGATGTACATACTGTCTTTTTGTATGCTGAATTAAATAATTAAATATTTATAAACTAATTAAAGAATCTTTACCAAGCTCTTTAGAAATTACATGTTTTTCCTTTCCCAAGACCGCACATCATCATCATCATCATGATGAAAAACATGTTGGTCATTTACAAAAAACTTGGCAAGAGAACTACATAACCTCACAGGCTGATGTTTTTGGAATAGACTAGCTATATTTCTTCCCCTCAAAGCATTACTGTTTTAATCTCCAAGTGTTAAGAAAATATCAATTTCAGACAATGATCTGTGATGCTAAGATAAATGAACAGACTTGTAATGTGTTGTAGTGTTCAATCTAAAGGCCAATTTGGATCAATGTCTCAATTACAAAAAACCTGGGAAGGTGTTTGTTTGGACATTCCTCACTGTCACAAAGACCATTCTAAGAAACCATGAATTATATCACAGGTTTAGCCTAACGCTCATATGAATAAGGAGAGATCTTGGAAATGGTTGAACCTCCAATTAAAAAACAAAATACATTTAATTTATTTAAATACAAAGGGTTAGGTTGTTACTAAAAGGAACAGAACTTGTCAGTTGGCACTCTGTAAGTCAGAAGTATTACCCGCTGACCAAACCTTGTGTTGCCTTGTGGTTCTCATGATTCTGAACAGACACAAACAGCTAGCGAGGGCTTGAATCTAAGCATCTTGGCCAATGCTGTGCTCTGACACATTGAGGCTCCAACTTGAACAAGCCGAACACATGTACCAGTATTGACCTAGCCTGCCCATGGGGGCACAGATGCTGCCAACACAGCTAGAACAATATAGAACTGCAGGGGAGGTATGTTTAATAGAACGCAATCATTGTTACGTTAGCTTTTCTGAGGCCTTTTATGAGCTCGGTTTGTGTTTGCAGCAGTCAATTACTGCTAACAAATTGGTTGATAGGCATGTTTTAACAGATTAAAGTCTTTCTATTTTAGGAATTATTAGAAATGTACAGCGGAGTGGATTCCAGATACACTGGTAAGGCGAAAGTAGCCAACTGTAAATGGAAGTCGACGAGTAAAGTCGGGGGAGGTACATAGGCACCGACAGCAAGTCGGACAACTTCTGCTGTTTCTAGGAAACGTGACAATGGGAGAGGCAATCGCCTTTGTTATTGCCGATGAAGTTGAAGTTATCAAAATTCCACTTCTACACGAAGCTAAACATGATCAACATGTTCCAAGGAAGGAATATTTTGATGATAAGGAAATAAGATACCAGTCCAAGCTCTTTATAACATTCACAAGACTTGTTTGGTATTGGTATTCTCAAAATATAACCAGGTAGTGAGTGCTACTAGAAGGCTACTAGAATGAGAACATGCATACCTCTGTAATTATTGGTACAGTGAAGCATTTTGTCTTCTTTTGTCTTTGTACTCCAGCATTTTGGATTTGAAATGATACAATGGCGATGAGGTTAAAGTGCAGACTGTCAGCTTTAATTTGAGGGTATTTAGTTTAGAATTTGGTCCAATATTCCTAGCACGCAATGATTGCATCAAGCTTGTGACTCTACAAACTTGTTGGATGCATTTTCTGTTTGTTTTGGTTGTGTTTCAGATTATTTTGTGCCCAATAGAAATTAATGGTAACTAATGTATTGTGTCATTTTGAAGTCATTTATATTGTAAATAATAATAGCATATGTTTCTAAACACTTCTACATTAACGTGGATGCTACCATGACTACGTATAGTCCTGAATGAATCGTCAATAATGATGAGTGAGAAAGTTCCTGACGCACAAATATCATATCCCCCCAAAAAATGCTAACCTCCCGTGTTACTTGTCATTACTTCATGCCTTGTACCTTCCTCATTATTACTTGTGATTGTGCAACATGGAATTATAACAGATGTGATTAAATGGAGTCCACAAAGATTCTTCCTGTATGGTAATTGATTGCATGTCAGCATCTCTATAGACTGCAGTGTATTTCTTTAATTCTCAACCTTTATGTTGCTTTTGTCAGTAAGCATGTAAAGAACAGAATTTGATTCAAATCACATGAATGACAAAGCACTCACTGTACAGTATAAGTTACTGGGTAAAAAACATGACAATAATTATACTACACATGTACATGCACATCAGTTCACATAAGTTACAGGGTAGCCATTATGCCAAGCACTCAAATGCACTTTGTATTGAACCCACAACTGGTGTCTGGGGTACTTCAAATCAAATGTAATATCATTTTATATATGTCACATGCTTCGTAAACAACAGGTGTGGACTAACAGTGAAATGCTTACTTAAAAAGGGCCCTTCCCAACAATGCAGAGACAAAGAAAATAGAGAAATAATAGAAAAATCAAATACGTAATAAAAGTAATAATAGATACACAATGAGTAACAATAACTTGGGGTACCAGTACAGAGTTGATGTGCAGGGGTACGAGGTAATTGAGGTAGATATGTACATTTAACTATAAATAAAGTGACAGATAGTAAACAGTAGCAGCATCGTAAGTGATGAGTCAAAAAAGTTTGTGCAAAAAGGGTCAATGCAGATAGTCCGAGTAGCTATTTGGTTAACTAACTATTTAGCAGTCTTATGGCTTGGGGGTAGAAGCTGTTCAGGGTCCTGTTGGTTCCAGACTTGGTGCATCGGTACCGCTTGCCATGCGGTAGCAGAGAGAACAGTCTATGACATAGGCGGCTGGAGTCTTTAAATATTTTTAGGGCCTTCCTCTGACACCACCTGGTATAGAGGATCTGGATGGCAGGGAGCTCAGTCCCAGTGATGTACTGGGCCATCCGCACTACTCTCTGTGGCGCCTTGCGGTCAGATGCCAAGCGGTTGCCATACCAAGCGGTGATGCACCCAGTCAAGATGCTCTCAATGGGGCAGGTGTAAAACTTTTTGACAATCTGAGGACCCATGCCAAGTCTTTTCAGTGTCTTGAGGGGGAAGAGCCATTGTCGTGCCCTCTTCACGACTGTGTTGGTGTGTTTGGACCATGATAGATCCTTAGCTCTCGACTCGCTCCACTACCGCCCTGTCGATGTGAATGAAGGCGTGCTCGGTTTCCTGTAGTCCACGATCAGCTCCTTTGTCTAGCTGATGTTAAGGGAGAGGTTGTTATCCTGGCACCACACTACCTGGTCTCTAACCTCCTCCCTATAGGCTGTCTCATCGTTGTCTGTGATCAGGCCTACCACCGCCGTGTCGTCGGCAAATGTAATGATGGTGTTGGAGTCTTGCGCGGCCACATAGTCGTGGGTGAACAGGGAGTACAGGAGGGGACTAAGCATGCACCCCTGAGGGGCACCCGTGTTGAGGGTCAGTGTGGCGGATGTGTTGTTACCTACCCTCACCACCTGGGGGTGTCCCATCAGGAAGTCCAGGATCCAGTTGCAGAGGGAGGTGTCCAGTCCCAGGGTCCTTAGCTTAGTTATGAGCTTGGAGGGCACTATAGTGTTGAATGCTGAGCTGTAGTCAATAAACATCATTCTCACATACTGTAGGTGTTACTTTTGTCCAAGTGGGAAAGGGCAGTGTGCAGTGCAATAAAGATTGAGTCATCTGCAGATCTGTTGGGGCAGTGTGCTAATTGGATTGGGTCCAGGGTGTCTGGGATGATGGTGTTGATGTGAGCCATGACCAGCCTTTCAAAGCATTTCATGGCTGCAGATGTCATTTAGGCAGGTTACCTTAGCATTCTTGGGAACAGGGACTATGGTGGTCTGCTTGAAACATGTAGGTATAAAATCTGGTCAGTGCATGTTCTGAGTACGCATCCTGGTAATCTGTCTGCTCATTAAGGGACTATTTCCCAGACACAGATTAAGCCTCTAAAATTCACACTTAAGAGACAATCAACACATTTGCATTTGTTTGGTGACAACAATATTACAGACTAGACAAATTGTAGACTATAACATGGGACACAACATTACAGTAACATCTAGATAAAAACATTAGCTACATTGTCACAGGTAGGATATTTCATTTATTTATTTTAGAAATGTGGATCACATGTAGGCCTATGTAATTAGATCATAAGGATGTAAGAATAAAGTTGTATTTAAACTCTAAACAGTCATCCACCCAAAAGAGTAAACATCGCATTGATAATAACCAATGATAGGTGGTGACATCAACCATTTATGAGCATGTAGTGCCTTTT